AATAATATTATAAATCAATCGCTCATTCTTATATTGAATAACGAAACAAGAAAAATATACCAGTATTTTTATAAAAAGTATAAGGTTCCTAATACTCAACAATATCTAAGAATCAATGTATGATGAAAAATACCAAGTACTCAATAAACTGGTGATGTTTAAAACATTACAGGATTATTTATATGTTGTATGTAGGGCTGGGCATTTTCAAAACATTGGTGTTTCGAAATCGAAACGAAATTTTGTCTTTGAAACGAAATCGAACCGAAACAAATGTCACCATTATTACACATCGAATTTAATATACAATAGCAGGCATTTCCATAAATTAAATATACAAAAAACAATTTCGAGCGCTTGAAATGAAAAGCACCTCATGCTTCAAGTTATTCTTTGGCTTCTGCTTGATGACAAAACAGTGACCAAATAACACAAGAATAATACGAGAACAGTAGAAGCTTGTATATGTAAATAAAAGAAAACTGGCGATCAATTAAAAAAACGTGAGAGCAAGGTAGTCTCTTTACTCTGGTTAATTATAGCATGCAGTCAAATTAGAATTTCCCTCTCAAAAACGTATTTCTACCTGTTTCCTTGATGCTTAATCGGGCCCCGGTTCTCTAGCAACATGGCTCGCAGTCGAGAAGACTCTTCCACATGAAGTTGTGGTTACTGGAACTGATAGATATTTAAAGCAAGTGGTGTCAATTGGGGTAACACATTTTATTATCACGTCGCCATGTGATTGTATCAATGTTAGTGGCATATTATCTCATGTATTTTTAATAGGGCTCACTTGCTACTGAAAAAAAATTGAAATAATTTCGACAAAAGTGAAAGTCAAAACGTGATACCTTGACGAATTTAAGTTTATATTTGCCATGACGTCATAATATCCGTTTCGAAATTTAAAACAGCGCTGTTTCGACATCAGTGTTTCGAAACGCACAGCCCTAGTTGAATGTAGAAGGATTTGGTATTAATCACGAAAACAGTGAGAAAATTTATTGAGAAATGCTTCAATTGAACTGATGTATTACGTCTGAATATTTAAAACGACAATAATAAATTAATGATATATATCAAGTATTCATTAAATTAATAAATTTAGATTGTAATTTATTAGGGCTATGAACTTTTCCTAACAATTTCACTAAATCCTGAATTTCGATTGAAGCATTACAAGAATTGAATATTCCGATTGTGGCACTAATCTTATGTTATTCATCTAAAACAGTAAAACGGGGACAACCTCCTAATATTTGTTACAGGTTTTGGATTTCAACTTAATAAGAAGAATTTTAAACATTGATAAAAATAAATCCTGATAAAATTAATAATATGATGAAATTTTTACATCTGCAATAGAAAGATTTCAAAAAAGTAATAAATAATTCTTTATTTTACATTTTCCAAACAGGATAGTATAGGATTTACATATTTATCCTAGGGAAAACCGCTAGGACGGCTTAATCATGTGGCGAACCACGTCCGGTTACCAGTTCATGTCAAGTATGGGATTAGTTAGCCAGTTATTTGTCGCAGATACATGGACTTTATGTTGAAGAAAGTCGTAACAGACCAGCGATTACGTGAACCACCGTACGGTTCATGGCTGAACGGACTTGACGTGTCACATGCTACTGATATTTGACTTATCTAACATTATATGAATTGTGAGTGTTGACTGCAAAGAGTTGCATAATCAAATAATATTTAACAAGAAAGAACAAACAATGTAGCGATATGGTCCAATGTTGAGTTCATTTCACCCGTTGCGTTATCTGCAAGCCGTATAGCATGGTAACCACTGACCTTTTATTCTGCTTTATTATTGTCATTGTGTCTTCAATTAAAATTGCATATACGCACAAGACCTGCAGACATGGAGACATCGACACGTGTAGGTGTGACCTTGTCAACGGTAGTGGTGTCATCGACATTTCTTTCGGTAATCAGGATGAAACTCCCCTGTAAGTATATAAACACTTAATACGAACAAAATTAGGTTACTTCTTTTTGTTATCCATTCCAAAATATCTGTTTTGAAATAAGTTTTATTTTTACTTGTTGGTTTAAAACAACATTGTTTGAACAATATAACTCATTATTTCGACCCGCTCAGGAAGCGGTCTTATATCTTCTCTGGTTGATAAAACACAGTGGGCACCAGCGACATACCCAGGCCCCAGATGCGGCTTTCCGGCAGCTGTAAACGTACAGTCATATAAGCCGCACTATTTCTTTTTACGTCGGCGTGTTTGTATTTTAATGCATATTCAGTTTATTGCTGCTGCATAGGCTGAAATTTTGTTTGTATTCACTTTCACTAATACTGTTATTTCCCTCGCAATTCACACTTATTTTTATCCGAATTTCAGCCTTTTCAGTAACCTACTATTGTTATTTTTTCAAAAAATATTAAGACACAAAAGTGTTTTTAAAAGGACCTACATGTTTAAGAACAGGCAGTTATTTCTTGTTGACAACAAAACCATAAATGTCTTCATGTGTCCTGATATGATAATTATTTGAACAATGAGAACAAATAATTTAATATTTATCCAGTATACCAAGTTCATTTTCATTATCGAACAATAACTCGCTATATTTCTGCCAAGTGTTGCCGGTTAAAAGCTTTTGTTTTTAAGAAATAAAGTGGGGAAGTACAAAGTTAAAATCTTAGATTTACAGCCTGCACTCCATACTATTCAGATACAAAGATTTGAAAGGTCCGGACAACACATACGCATACAACCCATGTTACGCATTTTCGTCAGACGACGGTATCACTGGACTTGCGGTAAAGATATTGACTTATGTTATTCTCCGAAAGGGAAGTTGTTGTAATGGAAAGAGAGCCCCAAAAATTAAGAATGAGTGAAGTGAATCGGCTGCTTTTCGAATTTTTCTAGCATTCGTTTTTTATATGTTTGCTAATGGGCTCACAGAAGTCATGTAATTTCATTTTAATTTAGCATTGTCATGTCTACCCTCCGGAACAACGCAATTTTAGTTTTATTCCTTTAATTGTGCGTAATATTTGAGTATAATAGTTGAAGTGGTCTACTACCAACCAATGAAAAAAACATATGACTGTTTTACTTAAAATTGCTCGGGTGAAACTCACAAATAACTTCAGTATATATTATTACATATATATTGAACTTATGCGTAAAAAATTTTCAGGCACTTGGAAATGATGGATATGGTAATTTTGGCGTTGGACAACAAAAAGGAGCTTCCTGGAACACCGACGAAAGTGGCTCCCTGTTTATACTCTACTCCTCAGGAGACAAATACTTGTAAGATTAATATTTTGATAACTATGCAATCATTTTCGATCCTTATTATCAATATATCTATTTATGGTGAATACAAAACTGTCTTTATTGTATTGTACATATTGCCAAGCATATTGTTGGGGGCAGAAGAAACTTACACATATCTTCAAATATTTTTTGTATTCAGTATAGCCTACCCTTGATTCTCGAATATGATTAAATAAATTATTCGATGAAAAAGCGCTCACATGCGCATTAAAAGTGAATATATCATTCAACCCGAACAATTTTACTGGATTTCTTTCAACTTAATTAAAATAAAATTTCAAAATCATGTACATTTGTAATTGAGAATGTCAAACTCTTTTTTGGCTATCCTTGAGACAGTAAATTACAAAAAAAAAATTAAAATTAACCCAGAAAAATGGTGGTAGAAAAAATAGCAGAGGTGCAAACACAGTTGTTTTCGGTACGAAAATTTGTCAATATTGGTCAAGGTAATCGTAAACTTGACCTCCATCTAACTCAGATCGTCGATCATAGGGAAGCAGCAAACCTTTAACGCTGCCTGTGCCACTGTAATATCAAAATGAGTATATTTAGAATATATCTTGTATAATTTTACAGCAATTCAACTGTTAATCTGTTCTGTGATGACCAAAAAACTTCAAATGATGTCATAGCACAAGGAACCGATAATACCTACACAAATTATGTAATGTAAACGTGTTGTTGTGTTGTTAGAATACGAAAGCCAAGCTTTTAGTTAAGATTCTTGACAATGACGAAAACGTTGAAAGTTTCTTCATCTTCTGACCTATATTCAAAATTTTCGATTTTACTAACACTTTGTCCACTATTTTTAAAATATATATATATTCTACAAGATGTTGCACATCTTTAGGTGTTTGATTTTTCGGGACCAGCTTTGTGTCCGATTGTTGCGCCGGAAGATAATAAACTGAGCATCGGATCAATCTCATTAATATCGTAAGTTTATCTTTTTAAATGTAATATATATATATATATACTAGAAAATGTGTGAATATATATTTCATTAGTTTTAAACTCGTCACTCTTGCTCTCTATGCTCATGGTTTTGAGATTACTTCATATGTTTAATTTACGAATAACGAAAATCTACTCCATTATCAGTCACTCATAGTTTTGGATATACCAACCAATGATATTATCATCCGTTTGTGTCCTATAATAGCCAGGAGTAGAGTAATACGGTAGAAGGTTCAACGTCTGAGATCAAGAATAATTGAAATAAGACTAAAACTATTAGGCCAAGCAATTTCACACATTTTCGTCAAATTCCGCTGTAGGAAAACACGACTGTGTGTGATTATATATTTACAGGATTTTGGCGATATTTTTTGTTTATCTTGTCAGCGGAATAATATACAAAAAGACGAGAACTGGTGTAACAGGCACTGACTTGATTCCTAATACAAACTTCTGGAGTTCCATGCCCGGTCTGATTAAGGTATAACCGATTGAATTCATTCAATTCACGGGATGAGATTTATGTTAAATGCAGTCACTTATTTTGTTGGCATTTATATATATTACTACATGCGTTGCGTCAAAGATTTAATATTTTTTAAACAGGATGGCGCCAAGTTTTTAGTGAACAGATGCAAATATCGACCGGAGGCGGACTACGACAATATATAACAAAATTTGTGCTTCCTATGTTCCATGTCTAATATAATATTTTTACCATATATGAAGGAATGTATATTTTAAGGTTCTGGAGTTCAACAATTGTTACTAAAACTGCAAGTTGATACCAATTCTATATATTATAATTAAATATTGGGTTACAAATATATTTTTCTTGCGAAATTTTATTTTAAACCAGTTCAGATTTTACTCAACTGAATCGGAGTAAGAATTAGCTACAACTGGTCAAAAAACATCAACTTCATTCAGCAGAGGACGCAGTGATATGGCAGACCACATCAGGTGTCAGTAGGTTTACAATACGTCCCGGTGTCCCGCGCCATACATTCAAATGTTTTGGTATGGCAGTCATAAATATTTTTCATTTAATATTGACGCAATTTATTTTTAACAGAGATATTTATCATTGACTTGCGGCTCACTCCATTAGATTCTAATATGGCGAACAAAAGTGCAAGTTTTTCCAATAAGTTGAATATTACTAAGGCTCGATTTGAATCAAAGTTTGTACAGTTATTTGCTCCATAATTATGGGGACCCTATGCATCAAACTGCCATATTATTTGCATCACCATAATGGATGATTGTTGGTGGAAGCATAACTGCCATAGTGGTACGGTACCTGGAACACCCTGTGATAGTAAACAAGTGCAATTGGCAGTCAATTCGCTGAGGAGTGTATTGTCTTAAAGTGTTCATACTTTTATTAGAATGGTCCTGATTTAAAAGTTAGTTTGACTAAATTGAATATTCATCGCCAAACAAAGGTTAACTACAGGATGACAATAAATTCATTGATTGGAATTGCAAATTATAGCGCATGACAGGCCCAATGTGGCAAATTGTACAGATTTAAAGTTGAATTCTGAAATGTTTCATTTGGGTTTTGTTGTTTTTCATTGATAACTTCAATCTGAACTTGGATTTCATTGTCCTGAGGTAGGCCATGTCCTTTTGAGCTCGAGAAATATCAGATGCAGAAGAACTGTGCCACCCGATTGCTTTGTACTGCGCAATAAGCCTAGCTAATCGCTTTTGCTTTTTAGATGTATGCCTTTCAACAGGTGGAAAGTTCTGTTTGTAGTATCTCATTAAACTTCTATGACCAATAGATGACCCAGATGGTAGAACCAGTTCTAAATCCTGTATATCTATATCTGCAGATACATTATCATCATCTTCCTCGCCTTCAGAATCCATTTCTACGTCATTCTCTTCCTCATCATCACCAAATTCATAGAAATCTGCATATTCCAATGCAGCATCCCCTGTAACAAGCATATTGCAATGTCCCTTATCTTTCATGTGTTTCAATACAGAAGATATGGAATAAAATGCTTTTCCCTTCTCATTACACCACAAACATATGTTACCCATTCCAACCTTTTCACCAAGATAGTTCAATAATCCCTCCAAGTCGGTTAAAAATGTAATATCTGGAATAAAAAAACCATGCTGCTTTGACATGTGAAGAACATTACACTCAATGTCTTTTGATGATTTAAGACAAAATAAACATTCCTGAGAAGAAATCTGTCTCTGTTTCGAACCAGTGAGTATGTCAGAAGACAGTGATTCTATATCTGCATCTTCATCTTTCATGATAATTTCCTCTTCATCAGCTTCTTCGTCATTCATCTCTTCATCAGAATCTACATCTTCCCATTCATCCTCATGTTCTGCTTCTTTTAGGGCTTTTGCTTGTTTTTTGAACCATCTCATACGAGGATTGTCACCAGATTTAAATTCTTTTGTGGTCTTTACTTTCTCATCTGCCCGTAATATTTTAGGTTTATCCAAATCTGCTTTCGCATCAGCAACAGCTTTTTTCATAGATTGACTTTCGTTTAGACCAGATTCATCTTTTTCATTTTTCAAGTCTTCCTTGGATAAATTTTGTTTTACTTGCTGCAAGTGAGCATTTTCATATTCTCTGTGTTTTTTTGATTGCTTATGATTTTCAAATGAATTATGTGAATTGAAACGTTTTTGACATAGTTTGCACCAAAAGCCAGATATGCCTTCAGTGTCCTTGTCCGCAGTGACAACCTGGCGCTCCCTCACTTTTTTCTGGAAGGTTGATGCAGAAACTGGTGGCATTCCAACAACCTTTCGCTTCAAATTATAGCGATGCCAATCAGTTTTATAATGACCTCTTTGTTGATCAGGGTCAGAAAATGCCACATGACAACTTATGCATGTATAAGCAGACATATTATATGTTTTCAATATTTATTTACTATAAATCTGCCTGTAAATAATGGAGTATGAATTACACAAGATAAATGATTAGGAATTGATAATAATGGGCAAACTAATGTTGTCTTAGCTTAGCATGTGACTATTCACAGCCAGCATCATATTTCAAAAAATTAGTGGTTGCAATGAAAAGTTCATTCAAGAAAAAACTGACAGAATAATTGAAAATTCCATAAACCAGAAAAATATTTTGGTCCTTTTTTTGGACAATAAATGTTGCAACTTCAAAGAGAAATTCAGATGACAAGGAGGAATACTGACCAAGATCAAATAAAAGCTGAATACAGGAATTAGAGGGCTTAATCAAAGGGCGAACAACAGCGTCTCGTCCAGTTACCAGTCCATGTCAGGTATGGGAATAGTTAGGCAGTATTTGTTTCAGATGCATGAACTTGATGGTGGACAAAGCCGTATTTGATACCAGTACAGCAGCAACCGACCAGTGCGTACCACCCTATGGAGGTGAGGCTTATATAGTACAATTTTGATCACAATAACATAATTTACTGTGAGCTGAAATTGATTGATACAATGAAACATTGCTTCAATCCTCTATGCCAGCGGTTCCCAAACTGTGTTCCGCGAGCGTTATTTTTGTTAACCGTCTGCCTAGCTTTTTGACTTCCAAGTTCATCACCATTATCCCAAGTTTAGAGCAATCCTTTTGGTTTTGCTATCAGAAAACAAGTAGGTATAAAGAATGAAGGCAAAGGTCAACTCTTCTTCCTCCATCTCTGCCTGGTTTTACTTTGAAATGCTGAAAAAATTACTCAAGTTCGCTAAACTCGATTCAGCAGATAAACTGTAGGTCTGCAGTTCGCGAAATTGCATCAAGTGCTTCTATCTTCATTGGACGTAACATTAGAGGCAAACACTACGTAATGGAAAGTAAACGACATAGAAAGGTGAAATGAATTTGTTGATTCATATACACAGCATTTAGATTAGGGAATAATAAAACATATATAATAAATGCAATATGTAAAATATTCAATATACTCTATTTTCAGTATGTTTAACACAATTCTGTTAGTTTTTGTGGCGCATTTGGCAACTCGTTACGGCGAATCCATTGAGAACCGCTACATTACACCACGCAGAGTAATCAGAGACGCGATGGCAAGCGTATTCCTAACGCTTAGCATGATGAGCCACATCCCCGGGCTTTGGTACTCTACAGACTAGGCGCCAGCATTATCCAAATTCCAAGAATTTGGCTCAATAAAACAAACACTCTGTGTCTCACAAACGAGGGGCTTCTGGAATCACATCAGATGCTTCATATCGTGCCACGCTTGTCTCAATAACAATCTAAAACAATCGCGGCCGTCACATGACTAAAATTGCGGTTTTTTGCTAAAAACTCTCGAATGCTACGGTAAAAATTTTTTTCCTTCAGTAAATCGGATTTTTTTTCCCAAGGAATTCGATGATGACGTTATTAGATTGCGCTTTTTGTAGTATTTTGCGTAACTTCATTGTACTGTATTATAACCAATATATAGGGACAACAATGCTCATACGTCTCCCAAAGGAGGGGTGTCTGATTATCTGTAAAATGTGTTTCTCTGAAACGGGACAATGTCACTCGATTTGTATAGTGTGCCGTACGATAGCATTAGTTGTGCTTGATTGTTTACTGAACTCTATTCGATAAGCTATTTCTGTATTTAAACAATCAACTATCGTTACCATACCGGTACGGTATCTGTTTTCGTAATCGACCTGGCTCTCAAACTCACTCCAGAATTCTAAAATGTCTGAATGTTGATTTTAGTAATTTATTCAAAAGGCAGTAGGGAACCGACTCCATGACCTAACGCTTTATAGACTCTATATGAATTTTGGCTTTATACTATGGCTTTAATATGAATTTTGAAATGCTGTATGAACTATTTTACATTTCTGACGGAATAAAATACTACTACTACTGCACAGTACCGGTACGGTACCGTACTACTACTGGTTTTCTCCCACTGACTCGCAACTGTCGAACGTGTGGACTGCATGTGGAGATGGATGATTCGGCGCGTTTCAGTTTGTTACCCATGAATCAGCATTATTACAGTTTGCCTTCGAATCTTAGGATCGGTGCCTTTCCCCGAGCATCAACTTCCTTGTTTACTTCGTGATATTGGCTAATCACGCGGCGGTGTGGCTCAACGGGCTAAGCGTTAGGAATACGCTCGCCACCGCACCTCTAATTACTCTGCGTGGGTTCGCAGGTTCGAATCCCATGCAGGGGTGGTTATGTGCGAGAGGATTGCTGGACTCCTCGCCGTCGTTGGGTGGTTCACGTAACCGCTGGTCGGTTACGGCTTCCTCCACCACCAAGTCCATGCTTCCGAAAACAAACAATACAGTAAAAAACTAATCCCATACCCGACTTGGAATGGTAACCGGACGAGAGGCCGTGGTTCGCCATATGGATAAGCCGTCTTATCGGCTTTCCTCTCCCCCGGGATAAATATGTAAATCCTATCCCTATCCTAATCAGCAAGATGTAAAAGTGACGTAACCATGCTCTCTTTTCGCAACCGCTTAGAGTACACTTTACTCACTCAGACAGATTTTTAAGCGTGGTCGTGAACATTACCTCGTTTTCGCGTTTTTGAACTATATTCGTTAGTTTTCTGTTGTGTTTCGGAAACTTAAATATAAATCAGATAATTTAATGATCACTCTGTCTTCTTAGGAGTTTTAATTTAATTGCAGTAATAAAAAAAATAGTGTAGAAATAGCTGTAATAGACTAGGCCAGTGGTTCCCAAACTAGGGTCCGCGGACCTTTTGGGGTCCGCGAAGCACTTTCGGAAGGTCCGCGAAAGAAATCTGTTTTATGCCTCCTAGTGAAATAATGCAAATATTAAGTGCTTAAATTTGCAAATTTGACGCCTTTTGAGCTCCACAATCACTGATCGTTCACTTTTTGTTTCGATCACGTTGTCCCATTGTGATGTCACAAAGCAGCGGATCTATGACATCACAGACAAAGTTCAATTGCTGCCACTATAAGTTAACTAACTGCCGAGGTGTAGCTTACCCTGCCTTTGCGCGTCTGTTGGTATAGGATGGAGTTACAGTAGGTAGTTTATAATTGGACACGTAGTGGACATAACGATCGTTTCAATATTATGTTGTTGTTGTTCTTGTTCTTGTTGTTGTTCTTGTTCTTTGACACGTTTTTAAAAAGTCGCTTTTCTCCTCGAATACTGGACCAATTGCTTTGAAATTTTCAGTGGTTAAAGATTAATTTTTTCGCTAGAAGGCTATTACTTTTGTTTATTCCTAAATTTTATATGAATCCTATGAGATATGATATTTCATACAAAATTTCGCGGTATTTATTTTTACTCATGGGAACACTGTTTTACACTTATTTCAAGCGGTTTCGCGATCGATTGTCTTGCTCAGTACTACAGCTACTGTAGGTCGGTACTGGTAAGTTGCCATACAGGTACCGTAACGCAGTGAAATTGACTTATTCCTTCCGCGGTATTACTAATGCTGCAATGCAAGTTTTATAGCCTATCGTATGCGGAACGGAATATCAGACCTACAGGTTCGGTACCGGTACTGGTAGCTCAGTACGTAAGTACGATACTGGTACTGGTGCCGGTACCGGTGTCTTACCACGATGAAATTACCGTAACTTATTCTTTCACGGTCCTACCAGTGCAGTAATGCAAGCGTTGTAGCACTTGTAGCCTACTATATTTGTTTATTTTGATGAGAGTCTACTGGAAACAACATAAAATTTGAAAGGGAAGAATTGTTCTGTGATCAATTATCTGTCCTAAAGTGTAAACAACATAAAATTTGCAAGGGAACAACTGTTCTGTGATCAATTAGGTACCGTATATGGCCTACAGTGTACAGGTAAGATGCTGGCTGACTGCTAACCGGTACTGGTAGCTCAGTACGTAAGTACGATACTGGTACTGGTACCGGTGTCTTACCACAATGAAATTACCGTAACTTATTCTTTCACGGTCCTACCAGTGCAGTAATGCAAGCGTTGTAGCACTTGTAGCCTACTATATTTGTTTATTTTGATGAGAGTCTACTGGAAACAACATAAAATTTGAAAGGGAAGAATTGTTCTGGGATCAATCATCTGTCCTAAAGTGTAAACAACATAAAATTTGCAAGGGAACAACTGTTCTGTGATCAATTACCGTATATGGCCTACAGTGTACAGGTAAGATGACCTCTGTGAAGCTAGCAGCAAAACACGAAATTGTGACTGACAGAATCGCAGAAAATACCCACGCGTAAAATCAAATGTTCCCAATGATTTTTAAAAGAAAGTGTACATTTTGATTAGTTTCACAATAGCAAATAAAGCAAAACAATCATTAACTACACTCCTCGTATTGTTAATACATAGTAAACAAGCTAAAGCGACTGCTACAGTGCATAAAATATTTTTATACTTTTTTGAGAGTTGTTTAAAAATGACTGAATTTTCGTCGTTTAGGACGGTCGTTTCATGAAAACCTCCAATAAAGGCAGCATTGCAACACCATTGGTGAAAAGTAGAAACCTCAAAGATTCGATTTCATTATGTCAGAACAGTCTCAGCACGTTTTGACTTGGCCATATATAATACTAAACATAGCGTATAATTTTCAATTTTATGCACAATGTATATACAACAAATTTAAAACTGATTCTGTATTTCAACTAAATTTACTGGATAGTTAATCAAAGAAGATATTTTTCTCTTTGTCACACAACAATAATGCACTTCATTAAACTTAGAATAAGTTGAGGAAAGTCTAAAATACCAAAAAAAAAATCACGCACTCTTGTGGATTCTTTAATAAATTTCACGAAATTATCGTTTTTGAAAGGTCGATTTTTCAAAAACCGCCAATAAAGGCAGCACTACGACAAATTCGGAGAAAAGCAGATACCTTATAGATTGGATTGCATTATGTCAGAACAATAGCAGAACGTTTTGACTTAGCCATATATATTACCAAACATAGCGTGTATTAAAAATTTTATA